CCGGGATCCCCTCCGGACAGGAGGCAGCGAGGACTGAGCCGTGAGGAGACGGCTCCAGAGCATCTCCTGGAGCCACGTGCAGCCACAGGGCCGTGTGGGATCCCTTCTGATCCCAGTCCTGCCCTGCTGCCTTCCTGACCGCTTTCCTGGTGTGGTTGTGGGCAGGGGTGGGGGATAGTTTTTTGCCTCAGCATTTCTGCTGCAGGAGGGAGGCCAAGTTTTGATCCTCTGCTTTGCTCCAAACCCATTTTTTCTCCTAGGCTGGGGGGAAATTGCATTTACTGAGAGAAAGCTGCTGATCATTTTGCTCCTCCAGCTCATTTCTTGTTTCTGTCTGATCTGAAGGCCTGGGAAGAGGTGACTGGGGACTGCTGAGGGTCCCCAGGTTCTCTGCACTCAAGAGCAGAGAACAGAGCAGCTTGTCCCATGACAGGGTGGCCTGTTGGCAGCTGATAAGGTGGAAGAGGTGATTTGGGGACCTGCTGAAATGCAAGGGACTGAAGCTGTCGCAGGTCTGTGCGCTCACTGGGCTCCACGAGCAGCATTTCCCCCATTCATTGGGGTCCCAGGGGGCATTTCCTGGCTGTATTAAAGCCCCCGCTCTTGACTTTCAAAATTCCGGCTGAGGATTCCATTGGCGGAAGAAACCATCTGCTACAGGGATCCACCTTCCCCGAACCTCGTCCTGGACCTTTTCCAGACAAACCTGGAGAGATCCACAGGACTTGTGTGTGTCAGGGGGTTGGACTAGATGACCTCTAGGGGTGGAAGAGGTGATTTGAGGACCTGCCAAAATGCAAAGGACTGAAGCTCTTGCTGGGCTCCGGGAGCAGCGTTTCCCCCGTTCATTGGGGCTCCAGGGGGCATTTCCTGGCTGTATTAAAGCCCCTGCTCTTGACTTTCAAAATTCCGGCTGAGGATTCCATTGGCGGAAGAAACCATCTGCTACAGGGATCCACCTTCCCCGAACCTCGTCCTGGACCTTTTCCAGACAAACTTGGAGAGATCTACTCGACTTGTGTGTGTCAGGTTGGACTAGATGACCTCTAGAGGTCCCTTCCAACCTTAAGCATTCTGTGATTCCATGACTTTCTCTGCTGTCTCCACACTGGCTCCCTGTTTGGGTGGCCCCGTGGGACGGCTCGGGGTGGCCGGGGTGCAGGAGGAGGCAGCAGCTCCTCCCCGTGCTCCAGGCAGGGCCCACGCTGGTGGCAGCAGCTGCCCCACGGGCCCAGTGCCACCGAGGCCGTGTCCAGGTGGCAGGGCTGCCCACTCCCCTTCCCTGGCGCTGGCAGGAGAGATGGAAATCTGGGATGAGACGTTCCTATTCCTGGCTGCGAGGGGGGCTGGGTGAGCTCCAGCATGTCCAGCTGTTAGTCCAGCTTCTTCCAGGAAAAAGCCCTTGCTCCCACCCCGCTCCAAAGCGGATTCCCCGTTTCTCCATGGCACTGGTGTTCTGCCCCCCAAGGCTTCAAGACTCGTGAAGCCCTTTTACCTCCTGGGGTCGTTTCCGACGCCGGAACCATGCAGGGGGAGCTGCAGAGCTGCTGAGTGTC